CTAGGTTATTTATTGGTGTAACCTAGTAACCTGCTCCAGCTTGGCACACTGTTTATGATAGTGTCGAATTATAGAGTACCGCTTAATATAACGAACTTTTTTACGTTTCTAGCTCATGTTACTAGTATTGTTATTTTATGTCACAAAACCTAAACACCTGACCTGCCGAACACTGCGATATCTAATTCTTTGTTGTACTGCGCTTGTTAAATAACATAGTAATGATGAATAAAATATAACCCCCATGTTCTTAGGGACCTTTCGATACTGCCGCTGAAGATATCACATTTAAAGAAATACTGATACCGGATTGAAGCGGCGAAAATGCACAGTGTAAAGAAAGAAAAATCTATTTCTCATTTTACACCAGCAGCTCTATTGCACCGCCCCTTTGCTTCTAGACGCCTAGGGCGACCATTTAAGCGGACCACTGCTTCATGGTATTTAAGCGCATGAGAGGCAGGTCCGCATCTCAAACTGAAGTTGAATAAAAGTATATTTAACCAAGATTGCCACGATTCATTGGATAACGATGGACAAAATGTGGCCCCGATGTTTTTAGGGACCTTTCGATACCGCTGCTGAAGATATCTCATTTAAAAATGTATTATTTAAATTTTTTATGTAGTATTGAACTTCATTATTTTAGGTTATCGAGCTACTGATGTAGCTTAAAATGATGGTTGACTAAATAGCATTTGCTGTCCTGTTAGAATTGTAATGTAGCAGTTTATCACACTACAGCCTGCTATGTTCTTTCGTATTTTGATCTAGCATACTATGTTCTTCTCTGTTAAGACATATTTTACCCTGTTCATAGACGAATGAAGCGCACAGTGAGTGAACACTAGATAAGAACTAAATATTAGTGACAACTAATACTACATTGTTTGCTATATTGTATGTAATATTGTATTAAAATTTTCGCTGAGGAAAATCAAGAACGTTGCCTAACTTTTCTGTTTGTAAGGCGAAATGCATGCAGTTATGCTTCACAAACCAGATATAACCTTCTTCAGCGAATTGGTCTTATTTTTTGATGCACGGTTTTCAGTAAGAGTGGTTCTGCCATTATATGCGTCGTAATCATTGCCACCCACTTCTCCTGTCGGTTTATAAGGCCTTAACAAGGCCATATGCGTTGTAGCACTGTTTTTTGCTATCATACTCCTAACTATAGAATTAGTCCCTTGCGCATCGCTTTAACGTGCAAACTGTAAATGACTCATCTTCACTTATGCCTATCGTTCTTGCTAAGACAGATGGGTAATGCAGGAGCTGCGATACTGCTAAAATACCGTGCAGCCGTGGGTTGCATAAATGGTATTCTAAATTTTTTTCGGCAGGATGCCATGGACATCTGTGTAACTGTCCGTATTGCTATGTTTCCGATGTTTGATCCGAACCCAAGGATTTTCAAGTTATGGTGTACATTGTTATGCAACAAATATCGTGCGGTAGTGTAATGCACTTTTGTATTCAATATTACATCATAATACGTTTAGATTAAGGGTGGCACTAGTTTTACTTAATTATGACGGCCTAGCCCCTTTGCAGGTCGAGGTCCACAATGCGACCTTTGAGCACCTGGCTGAATGCAGTCCCTAATTTGAGTGAACTGAACGTTACTTTTAACTAATGCAATCTTTTCTTCCTTTATAGAGCGTTGCTCTGGATGCCATTGTTCAAACGTTGAGCAAACGCGATCGTTGCTCAGAAATGATTCGTCACGGTGTACCTGTTTTAAGGAAGCTCTATGATTCTTCAGACGACCTCATCAAAGTCAAAGCTTTAGTGGTATGTAACCGTTAGATTATTTCTATTTTTATTACACTTTTCATTAAGGGCTTGTGCAAATGTGCTTCCTGTAGCGGAACTGATGTTAGCATGAGACCATTTGGGGAGGAGTCACTGCTGATGCTTGCCAAAGTGTGCAGGAAGTAAGTGCAAAGAATTGTACAGAGAAATCAGTCATTTATTTCTGAAAATATCGCTACGTTTTGTTATCCATCACATTATATCCTGACCCAAAGTGGATCTGCATATGCATCATACTCGGCCTACCTAACTGCTGCCCGCCTGACGCATTCCATGTTTCCAGATATGGAGTTAACTGCAACGGATATGCGGTGTTTGCTGGCAGTGGCGAACCTGGGGAGTACTGTGTTTGAGCTCGAAATATTCGCTCCTTAGAAGAAACTCACAATACCTTGTGACAGTATCATGACAAGATGAAAGCGACCCGCCACTTTCGAGGTCGATATTGCCACTCTGCCTTGCGAGTAGACTCGGTTCGCCAAAAGCTAGGAGAGAAAACCGGACAGAATTGGGAGTGGGGCTGACGATGAAATTTCGATTTGTCGCTGATACAGGTGATGTATCACATCTATAATATGGCTGATTGAGAATGCCCTACGTTCTATATCGGCTTAACTAAGCGTAAAGTGAAAACTGAAATAATTAAACACCAAGTAGCGTTTGCAATGAGAAGCATTTTATTCTACTCTGGCTGCGCTTTCTGTCATACAAGAACTCAAGATAAAGATAATTGCTTGCACATTTTTTAATTACTTTGATAGTACAATAATTCTTGAAGTCAAAAATAGCCTAAATAGATAGTCAGTTATCTCGCTCTGTTTAAATACTGCGGTCAGCTATGATAGCTTATTTCTGATCTCGTAATCACGTGTAAGCTGTTTTGTAATATTATCTACGAGCTTATCAGTTCTTTTGTTTTAATTGATGGGGTTAGAATAATGCAGTCGAGGTATGGTAGCAGCTTTGAAGTTAAACAGCACTATGTCATGTAGGATTTGGCCTTATAAAAGTTAATGAATTATAAACTATTCCAGTGTCGCAAGAAAGAGAACTAGAACTATGCATACAGTAACAACAAGAGATTCCTTCTACTTTCTGTCTGAAGCTTCATTGATGGAGAGAAGAATCACAAAGCAGAAAATCATCCGTTTTCCATCACCGTCAACAAAATCCATGGTCAAGTCAGAGCGACCGAAGCATGTTGCAAAATCTTTTAAAGCCACGGTTGTGGTGCTAAATATTAGATCTAAACTCCTGATCAATCGCTTATCTTCAAAGTACTTTATTGACTCTAGGGACTGCAGAATATTCTATTATTTAAGAATATGAATAAATGCGCATATCTCTTGAAAGTCGGAGGCTTTGGTCATGACTAGATGAGGTAAATTCGTGTCGTCATACATCTCATGACTGCGCCGCCTTGAAATTAATACTTTTACTTTGCTTAAAGGTGGATCATTCAAACCTAGTACAAGTCATCGTAACCTTCTTGCTGTAACGACAGAGATTTCGCCGATCTGCATCATGCATTCGTTTGTGAATGCAACAACGATGCCTTCACATACATTGTATGACGATATCAGTTACGGAAACATGTATTTGTTGAGGTTGAACATCTCTGGCTTATGATATCCGCTGCATCTGCAGCTTTTCTGTGCTTATGCTCTAAGACCAGTTGCTGCTTCTTAGGAGGAAATTTCTCCGAAAGCAGATCTGTCTCTACCTTGCCCCTCCATGCGAAATTCTGGCCTCTTAATCAACGTCTGTTGTGTCT